AAAGTTATACTCTGATTATATTATACTATCCCAATGATACCGTGCATGTATTATGGGAGCTACCTCCCGATATCCCCTCCAAAAGAAAACTGGTTTAAAGTGCAGATTGTTACAGTTATTGTGTGACAGTTTTCTCAACAAACAAATGGTTTCCTACAGAGTTTATGGTCTCAGTCCTCTAGTTTCAGTCTTTCTTCCATAGCAGCATGATGCTTCATTTTAGTAAATTATGGTCCCATTTAGAGTAAAAAGCAGACCATAAAGCAGGGTATGCTTAAGGCGGGCTACCTTGTGATGACACGTCATTCTCCAGCTGAGTCCCGTCCAGCTCAGCGCACCAAATTTAGATCAAACTGTCAAAGTCTGATCAGATATGGATTCCAGATTCTGTTTACTGCCGTTGACTATTTCTCTCCTCAAATCTGTTCATATTTTAGTGTTTATCTGTAATACGAGAATGTCTTTGACCAGACGAGCGAAGCCAGCATTTGCAGCTCAGCTCGCAGTACGTCATCGCTGCTTAAAAACAACATGACGCCAACCATAATGCCGAACTCGAGACTTCAAAGCGCTATTTCCACAAACCAATGGGGGACGTCAAGATAGGTTCACACTTGGCTCCAACTGTGAGTCTCGTAACACTACAGGAAGAATTAACTGGATTTTTACTTCCAGAAACTGAAGGTCAAAAAGCTCCTTTTACTACTCAACTCTATTAGAGTCTGTTTAGGTTAACCCAAAGTTTGGATCAGAACTATTTATTTTTGGGTTTTCCTTTTGATCAAGTCTTTCTCTTTTGTAAATTAAATTCTGCATGTCAAGCTTGTTTGGTCCAGATTTTGGACCCATTAAGACTTGTAGTGGACCCACACAGAGCCTTCCTCTCCTGTTAATACCCGCCTGTTTTTCCTTTAGTCTCTTCCACGGAAGAATAAAAAATGAAATGAGAACACAAGTAGACCAGCTTCGGGTCTCCCAGAGGATATGTGTGGAATTCATACATCTCCGAATAACAATTTAAGATTGTGAAATACAAGCTAAAGTAATAAGAACAATTCATAAATGTGGAAAATGTATTTTTGTATGCTATTGGTTAGGTTGTCTGAGCTCTCATTACTCTTGCAGTTGAATAATAGACCCTCCAGTGTAAAAACTCATGCATATAAAAGAGTCGTATCATTTAAAAACTGAACTGCACCTGACACTGAATCACAATATGGGCTTGTGAATTAGTTTTTGCTGGAGCGGGACATCGGGGAATAAGACTGGCATGAAACAGAAGACCAAGGGCCAAACAATGAAATCTATAAAGCAGCACACGCTTGTTTTCCTAACAAGCCGACACAAGTTCAGATACCGATGAAACACCTCTGCAGGCAAGTCCAGGACCGCTCTGCCTCGAATCCTAAAGCATCATTCATTAAGCTCTATTTGAAAACACAACATAAAACTGAGACTTTACTATAAAACAACGTTGTCCACTGAAACACAGCTCTTCATTCTGAGAGCTCCTTGGTTCTCTTGGTTGACCCGAAACAATCAATATGGATAATTTCAGAGATGATTTGCGATTTAGATGCAAGAAATTTTTAAAAAATGCAAAAGAGCTTTGTGTCTAGGGGGTTCAGTTTTAGGTCACACTAGCTAGAAGCAGAAGAGGGTCTAGAAAGCGAGACACTACAGCTGTAGTTGCTAAGATTTTATTGATACTGGTGTCATTATCGATTCTGCTTAACAGGCCGATTTTTTAGTGATGCCTTTATTGATTAGCGGTAGCTGAAGCAGCAGTCTGTCTGTCATCTAAAATGGATGAAGTGAGAGAATATTTGTCCAGCATTTGTTTTCATTTGGGTTTTCAAAGTCAAAGACAAAATCTGCTAAGCCTGCCTGCATGTTATTACATATAAATACACAATACTTTTAGAAACATTGCACTTGTACGAATACAAAGGTTTATTTTATTATATTTTATGTATTTTGTTGTTTTTATCCTTCATACAACATTCTCCTGTGCCAATTTGGGAGGATCAATAAAGGAACATCTTGTCTCATCGTATCGTATCTTCATATCTTTTTTATAATATTAACACGTCTGTTGAGGATATTTATCCTGACATTCCTGGAGTTAAAGTCCATGTTGTGTAGAAGGATGTTTCATATTGCTGCTGTTTCCATCCAAACCAATCACTTTACACATTTTACAATTAGCACCGGTGTCATCTTTCTTTGTGAAATGAAGCCATGCTTTGGACAGTTTGTTCCTCTCCGCCATGACTTCTTCTTCTCAAGCTCAAAGCAACAGACATAATTCTTTAATTATTTTGTATGTGTATTGTTTACCAAGGGCTCAGTCACTCACTCACTTTTTTCATCTTCCTTATAAAAGTGCTCTGGTTTCTAGAAAATGTAAGCCTCACCACACTGAGTGGGTTCAATGGCTTCCTCTTGAACCCTTTTTCACTTATATTTTCCATTATCCTGGCATTAGGATGTGTGCTTCCCTGTAAGAAGTACCTTCAACAATACCCGGGCTTTTTGCAAATATTTTGGAAAGGGCAATATCATCAAAACGGACAAATCAAAAGTGGATGCTATTCATCTGTGTGTTCCTCACGTAATCTCACACAAATTACTGCACTGCACTAGAAAGCCTTTGAAAAAGTTGCAGTAAGAATTAATGCAGAGATTTGCCACAAAAGAAGGCTGCTATCTGTGCTACGAGTATAGCATCAAATAACAAAAGAAGTTCACTCATAAAGAGTCGGTTTAGACTTTACACTTTATAAAATGATTTACAGAGACCCAACAATTCCCACATGCAGTGAGTGTTTCCACAAAGTCAGCCGCAACAGGATTTTTCAAATCATAGCTGAAAATGCTTTAATTATTAAAGAGAGAGAAAAACAGCTGTAGAGCCAGAATATTTCTCTAAATCTAACTGAGGTGAACGGGGTTTATTTCGGATAGTCTGACGACAGGGAATACAGTGACAAGGTGATTCACAGGGGCTCCAACCAAGACTCTCAAGGCCGTGAGAGCAGAGGTGTGAAGCCAAGAGATCTAACTCGGTTAGACGGTTAGAAACCAGAGTTGTTGGAACAGTGGATGGACTAATAAACATGGCTTTGGTGAGTTTTAATTGTGTTTTAAGATGAGTTAACTTAGTTAGGTATAATAGAGAAATTGTATTTCAGAAGGTGAACGTTGTATTTTTCTATTTAATGAGGAAAAAAGCTGTTTTTATTTTCCTTTCTTCGCTATAAAAGATTGTTATATGAAACAAACTCGCCACTCATCTCCCAGTGGGACTGCTGAATAGCTGGACTGACAGTGGCCAGCTGGAAAAACTTAACATATCTCCCAACCCTTCAGCGTACCCTGATGGAGCAGCTGATGAGACCGTCTCTGTTGTGGACTTTGAGGACTCTTTCAAACAGCTGGTTGCGAGCCACCTCGTCTGTCGCCATCTGACCCTCCAGCAGGTCCACGGGCTCCGAAACACCACCCGTGAAATCCACCAGCGCATCTGCCGTGTTTCCCCCATCCAATGCTTCGTAGCAGCCGTAAACCCTGCAGGAAGAGGACGAGACTCGGGTTATGTTTGTTAGAGCCGACAATCATTTTGATAATTGTTTTCAAGCAACATTGTAAATTATTTGCAAGATCTTGTGCTTTTCTCAGTTTTATTTCACAGTAAACTGAATATCTGGATAAAAGACGACAATTAAAGATGTCACCTTGGAGTCTGGGAAAGTTAGATGTACATTTTTCATTATTTTCGGTTATTTTTTTCATGCTTTTGCATATCATCATCTAGTCATCTATTGTCTGAATGCTGAAAAGTCTATTCGCCGCATTATGCTTTGTGTGTTTGTTTAATATTGAGAGGGGTTATAAAAAGTGCTTTTCAAAGTTTCTTCATGTGTAGGCAGAAGTTTGAAATAATTTAATCCAATACTGAGTTTTTAGGTCTTCTCTAAAGCTGGATCTGTGTGTTCGTTGGCACTGATACTAACTTGGCATAGGCCTTCTCCACCAGAGCGCTCCAGAACTCGTTGCTGTCGTTGGAGTGGCAGTAGACCAGCTGGTTGTCCACCGTCGGTAGCCGGTCGTCAATCACCACGTCCACCCACTCGCCGAAGCGCCAGAAGCGGAAGTGGAAAATTCCAGCGTACGATTCCGGCTTCTCCGTATCCCACTCCTGCTCCTTCCAGTCGGGAATGACCTGGAGGAGGAAGAGGACAGGGCGAAGAAGAGCAAGAGAGGGAGGGGGGCAGGTAAGCCAAACAAACAGGCGGTGGTCCATGGAGCATAAATAATGTCAAGGTGGAGTGGGCTGCCAGAGTGAGACAGTGTACCCTCATGTCTGCTGATGCATTTAGGATTAAGGGGACAAATTTATCACCTTGGCTCTCTCAGTCATAAATCCATGCTGTAATAGGACATGGGTGAGAGGTAATAACTGTTTGACTGCACTGTGTGTGTGTGTGTTTCAGCTGCCTGCATTTGCTGTGGTCCAGTGAAGCCCCTAAAACACAGCCTCCATTTTGTGAACTGTAGTTATGATTTTTGACGAGACGCAAAGAAAAACAACAACATATTCACATAAAATCTCAAAACACAAACAGAAATTGACACATATTGATAAGTCTTATAATAGATCAAATAATAACACGCATTCACCCTTAAGCTTTATAATAACAACTCCTTAAGACTACTTTTAAAATTGCTGACTCGATGAGTTCGGAGTTTGTATTCCAGTCTCGTCTTTCCCTCGTGGGACAGAATGTGTATAAAAGCACAAATAAATAGAACAACTATTAATAATTGACAACATGACTTCCTGACCTTTTTGGCGCCAAGGTCAAGCGTGTAGGACAGAGCTGTCAAAACTGGCCAAAAGAAAATCACACAGGTTCAACCTCTCAGCCCATTATGTCCATAAACCAATACCGTCTACTGACCATAAGTCGTGACCCTCTCGGACGTGCTGCGGTCAGTGTGTCATTTCCAGTTGAGTGCTTCTGTGTCGCTGTTCGCGTATTTTTGCTGCTCTAGCTCAGTTTAATTTCTTCTATTCTTCATTACCTGACATACATGTACTCTAGTTCTGCTCAAGCACACATAGCTCTCTCCTTTTAGCGACTTTGGCACTAATCCCACATGCAACTATGATCTGCTGGCTACAATACTTTAGCATAGCAGTTAGCAGTGTCTTCTCTCTCTCCCTCTCCTGATCTCCGTTGTTCGGTGACATATGTTTAGCTATTCCTCTGCCTCCTTTAGAGATAATGTTACATGCAATAAATGTAGTTTATTAGGTAGAAGGGGACCCGTTCCCTCTGTAGATTGAAATGGCTCATTGTTATGTAACGAAAACGAAATGATTATAAACGACTGAAAAGATACCTATGAATGTTATATTCCATTTCTCCCGATAGATCCTCCTAAATGTTACACACTGGACCTTTAAAAAGATGACTGTCGCTGATATTGTTATATTTCTTTATTGTCATAACTACTGTCACTCCAGTACTGCTAACATTGTGGAGTTTCTGCCCACCTGAGGAATGAAACCACCATTTACTCTCCTTTTTGCTCTGTTTTGGTCTCCAATAACTCCAGAATCTGCCTCTTTAGCTGCAGCTAGATGATAAGTTAGTGTATCCGGAGAACAGGTAGCGTACAGTGGCTTTCTCGGTTACATTTTCTGCATGTTGTCACGTCATGTTGTGCTTGCTCTTTAAAATGTATGAAGTGTTGCTTTCCCACTGTGACTCAGTGTCGTAACAGAGCACCCAACCTGGAGGCGACCTGCAAAAGGGCACCTGTGAAAACCTCTACCAGTGTGAATATGGCATGCAATAAAAAACTGCAAACGATGCAGCGAGCGACACCACACGTGAATTCACTAACAGTGTTCCGGTGGGTGTCCTTGGAGATGTCAAGGTGCGCTAACTGAACAGCAGTTCCTGTCAAACCTCTCTACAGGAGGTGACACTCTGCTGATGGAGAGAATCTGGACTCTCCAGAGGATTGGCTCGGTGAGGCAGCAACAGCTCCTTTAAAAAGAGGAGGAGGGGGGAGAGAGAGA